GAACTACCAATATGTACCGTGATTTGCGGGAATTATATTGGTGGAATGGGATGAAGAAAGATATTGTAAATTTTTTGGCTAAATATCTGAATTGTCAACAAGTGAAAGTTGAGAAACAGAAATTTCGTGGTTCGACTCAAGACATTAGTATTCCTACATGTAAGTGGGAAGATTTGAATGTGGACTTAATTACAAGTTTATCCCGCACCCGTTGATAGTTTAATTCAATTGGGGTTATTGTGGACCAAATGACAAAACTAGCTCACTTAATTCCCGTTAAGACTTCATTCTCATCAGAAGATTATGCCAAGCTTCATATTTAGGAATTTGTAAGGTTGCATGGGTTCCCTTCTCAATTATCTCTGATTGCATGGCGTGCATCACATAGATGAATTACATCCATGCATTTTGAAGAAGTGAATTTCTTATCGAACCAAACAGGCGGTTCCCGTCCGAGCTATCCAAGATTAGGTGGAAATCAAGGTTGGAATAGAGAGTGTGATGATGGTTGGAGAGATCGAGAGCGAGAATGGTGTTACTGTGGCATGAACTGGAGAGATAGAAATAGGAACAAAGATCGTTAAGTGCCTCCTCACTAACGTCAAAAGAAGAAAGAACCAAGTGTTGATCCTGGAAATTTCCAAACCGAGGATATGTTTGCTCGTATCTTAAACAAACTGGAAGGACCGGACAAGTGCTAAAAGAAATGAAAGACGACGTCTCTTCCGTTAACAAAGCAGTCACATCACACTCGGTATCCATTAAGTAGTTGGAAACACAGATGGGTCAAATCTCAGTTCTTTTAAATCCAAGGCCAAAAGGGGAGATCCCAAGTGATACTTTGGTTAACCTAAAAAATGAGACATGATCCCATGGCCACGTCGGGCCACGATGTTAAATAAGGCACTTCTTGGGAGGCAACCCAAGTTTTACTTTTTAGCATTTGAATAACGTTTGTTGGATGTGGAGGTTAAAAATTTGAAGTTCAGGAGAAATAGGCTAAAGGGTAGGCTCAGAACCTACTCGGCGTACTGTCGAGTGGTTCGGTGAGCCCGATGTTGATCGCCCTTTTTGACCAACCAAATGGTTGGAGTTCTGGGAATTTTGGCGGACATAAATCAATTTAGCGCGTCGCCGAGTGGATCAGCGACATTAATGAATCTTACTGACTGAGGCGCGAACTGAAGGGTCAAAAGTTTTAAACCGTTTTAAATTCAAAACCTCTCCATAGTTTGAACTTTTCAACTCTTGCACTCTCTCAACTTCATATTAGATCTTAGTTTTTACTGAATTTTTGTGTGGGTGTCATTGTGTGATTGGAATTCTTTGCCTTGCTCAATTTTGCTTTTGCTATCATCGCGTCCTTGTCTACCTCTAAGGTTGGTTTCCTAAATTAGCCTTAATTTCATGTCGTACTCTGAGCATGTTTGTGTGTTTGATGGATCTATTGTGTATCTTTGTGCATTTAATCTATAGTTAAATAATGTTGGGTAATCGAGCATGTTAGATTTTGTGTTTGGCCTAATTGATTTTAAGTTTCGGGTTTAAATTGTTTGAATTGCGAGTTTTCATGTTGGGCTTGGTGTGGGTGAATTCTGAGTAACTCAAATTTGCCCAATGATGGATCAGGTAACATCGTTCTCAAGGGAAAAAGGCATTGTTTGGTCGAATCCAGGTAAATTGAGGGAAGTCTAAGTACCCCGGGGTTTGTAATGGTATGGGATAGTCTTGAATTGCATAGAATGGGGCTAAAATTTTGGGTATTGTAGGTTGTGTGTTGAAAATTGGGGTTTGGGGTATAAATCTGGCATGATGGGCCATTTGGCGAGTTTAGTCGAGCTCGCCGAATGACTCGGTGGTTCGCCGACTAACCCCTTTCATCACCTTTTGGACCTGAAATTTTGATGTTTTTTTTTATAACTTTCGGCGATGTGTATGTGCATGCCGATTTGACTCGGTGACTCACCGAATGACAGTGACGTCACCCTTTTCAAGCTCAGTTTTTAGAAATTAATCTGTAAAATTAGGTGAGCTACTTTTGTTTCACCAATTCGATTCGGTGTCTCGCCGAATGACCTTTTACCTCACCATTTTGTGTTAAAATTCTCATATTTTGTTCTGTGATTTTCAGCGAGCTCTTCAAGTCTCGCCGAATGAACTTGGCGTGTCGCCGAACTGATCGGTGAGTTTTTCTGGATTTTTTACTTTTGTTATATTACTAACCCTTTGCAACCGCATTCCTTTCGTTTGCTTGTTTTGACAGATTTGGCCAAACCAAGAGTCCCAGCCAAGGGTCCTCAACCTTGAAAAAGGGCAAAAGTGGTGGTGATTGTTGCGGAGGTGACACCTCCACCATCTACGAGACCTAGACCCACTCAAGCTAGTGATCGGAGTAAAGGCAAACAACCGATGAAGCCAAGTTAATTAAGTGTCAGCTCCGATAGTATGGGTGTCTACTCTACCCACCTCACTACATCTAAGTCGGAAAGCGGGTAAAATATAGGTTCCAGATCTCCAGTCTATCAGTCCGAACCAGCTGACTATCAAACTCTAAAGCGCAGACATGCAAAGTTGCGCTCCAAAGCACTGCATTATCCGGCAAGGCTCCCGAAACCTCCAACAGCAACACCAGAGCAGGCACCACAAGTGCCTCCGGCCCAAGAACCTCTACCACACTCGATGAACAGGTTGAAGGCTACAAGTATGTATACAATTCTTCAGGAGAAGAGGTTGTCCACTGATGGGGTTGTGGACAAATACCCAGTAGTGTGGGAAACACTCTGGTTCCACAAATTTGAGCAGTTGACAAATCTCCGGAGTCCGTACGTGCCTATATGGGTCAAAGAATTTTATGAGAGTTATGCATGTTTAATCCCAAAATGGAATAAGAAGGCTAGATCAGCGACACCTCTAGAGTTTATTGAGGTGCGTGGAAAGATAATCAAGTGTAGTGAAACAGACATCAATGAATTGCTAGTTTGCACAGTCTGATTGATGCACAACTTGAACACGATTCTCAAGACCAAGTTGTTACACGACTTGAAGAAGTGGTTGGCCCTATTACTATCTGATGTGTCTCCTCCATGGATAAAGGCGGGTTCCTATTGAGAAGAGGGACATTCATGTCACTGCTCGGTATTGGTTTGGGTTCATCAGCAGCACCCTGATGCCATCTCAAAATGAGTCCATCCACCAACACCCGAAGGCTGCACTTCTGAGGTGCATTATTGATCGGGAGAGGCTTAATTTGGGGTTGATTATTGCATTACAGATGTCCATGAGGGCTAAACGGAGTCAGACCTCATTACCCTTCCTTGTCCTAATCAGTGATTTTTGTCACCAAGTTGGAGTGTCGCTCGTGGCCAAGACTAATGTGGAGGTTACTCTCATCTCTTCTACCGACATCTAGAGAATTGAGGCAGAGTATATGAAGGATGAGTCCGAGCAGAGGAGAGTTGCATCGGTGGATACATCTTTAGTTGTCGATGTAGAAACTATGGAGACTGATACTACTCCTCATGCATTGCCGATGAGCCGATAGGTATGTGTAACTCATTTGTCCCTCCTACTTCTGATCCTGCTACCTCCCGACCCCCATTGACTCCGGCCATGATATATAAAATAGGCCACCTAGCCCATTCGGCCGATGTGCATGCTTTAAGAGTTGAGGTAGTTATCCCTTTATGATTAAGCGAGTTATTAAGGTTGTACTTTCTCCTATTTGGGAGGACTTACAAGGACCGCGCGAGCTGATTATGGCCCATGGCCAAGCTTTAGATGCATTAACTACGAGGGTGGAGGCATGTGAGTAGAGTGATTGCCAGGCCACTGATTTGAGAACCTTGCGGGCTGATATTGTGAGACTCCGATGTGATATGGATGACCTGAAGTCCACAGACATTTCTATGTTATTGGGAAATATGGACATTCCCAAGGGTCCTAGTTCAGAGATGCCAGTTATTTCTGAGATCCTTCCGGCCTCTGTGACCGGACATGCTGTTATAGCTGATGATAGTGATGAGACTGATGCCCTAAAGACTGATGAGGAGGACTTCCGAGATCATGAGGAGGCAGTTTTCGATGACCTAGAGGACTTGAAGGGTAATTTGGTCCAAGCAGATAAGGAAGCCTCTTTTCGAGACATTTCGATGATTAGGCCTGTAGAGCACAACCCACAATTGGAGGAGAGCCGAGCAGTGATTCCTAGATTGAGATCACCCCAGATACACAGCATGACAAGGGGATCTTGACTCTCTTCCTGTTTTTATCTACTTTTGAGACATGCAGTTTTTCTTTCACAATGAGGACATGGTTTCATATTTTTTTGTGGGGTGACGGTATCTTGATACCTATCCTCTTCGTTGTATTTATTTTGTTTTCTTTTATTACGTTGATTGTCGAATGTTTAGTTGTTTTTATTGATTCTATAAGTGTTTGGATATGAATTGTCTTCTTGTGTTTTTTGAATGGGAATGATGGTGGATGAATGTTGTTGATGTTCTCTTGCACATTAGAGTTTTGGTTGCGATCAATAGCGATGACTTGAATAGTGATATTGATTGAAAATTATGTTTGTGCAAGTCCAATATGGAAAATTTGAGTGGCATAAGTCATGTGTGAACTCTTAGCATCTCATTGTGACTAGTCGATTGTCGAAGTGAGTCTTGTAATGATCGTTGCACGCGAGCTTAACTTGTAGAGTCATGTTCGAGAATTGTGTTGAATTCCTTGTGTGGTGAGGTTTTCTTGAAATATGTGTTTGGTGATACCTAGAACTTGCCTCGTTAGTCCAATTGACTAGCATTGGTGAATGAAAGAAATGATCTTAGGCACAAATTTTTTAGAGTGAACCAAATTGATGTTATACCTCTTTGTGACCACCTTGTGAGAGTGTGAACATAGAATGGCACCATTTGAGCCTAACCTTTTCTTTGGATTAAACATGAACACGTTTGGACTTTTCCTCCCCACCTAAAACCTTCATGAAGCATTGGTCTGTTTGAATAGCCAACTTAGGCCAAAAGTCAAAGTTAGGTGTGTGGTAAACATAAGGAAAGAAATTGAGCAAGAAGTTTGTGAAATTCAGCTTTGAAGACTTGTGTTGAAAAAGAGGAAAAAGATGGAACTTGTCACAACCCAGGGGTACCCCCTAGATGTAACAAGGCACATAGAACCCTAAAAGGTACCATGTAAGCCACTTGCATATCATAACATAAAGCATTAGAACAGTAAGAATAAAAACACATTTCAAGTCCAAAATGTTCATAAAAGAAAGAGGAAGTCTAGACTTATCTCAATTTAGCCATATATTACAATAGTCGAAATGAAAAAGGCCATAGCCCATACAACATAGTCCGAAAAGGAATTACAAGGAAAGAAACTACTAAGTGAAAACATTCGTCCTCAAATCATGAGGACTCACCAACAAGCTAGCAGAAATGATCAAATCCAAGCTTTAGCCACAATGATGATCAACTCAAGAACCGAACCCTACACTTGGAGAAATTATAGGAAAATATGGGTTAGTACAAAAATACACTAAGTATGATAGTCATGCATAAAAACATTGAAAACATGCTAAAAGGGACATTTCATTTGAATGCAACCACGGACTGTAGGTACCCACCGTGGGTTGGCAATTCAGCTACAGCCCAGATATTTTTTGGTTTATTGTTTTGATTTGCTTCTTGTTCTAAAATTCTTCCAAGTGTTTTATTAACTTATTTTAGTACTAACTAAGATTCTACAGGTACTATGGCCCCCAAACAAGCTCCGACTTACGCCGTGAAGGGAAAATAAAAATCTATGGCACCTTCCTTGCGGCTGATTGATGAAGACTCTGACTATGTTCCTCCCAACACTAGGACTTCCCCTACTGCTCCTCGCACTATGAGGAATCGAGCTCAGCTAGTGATTCCACGTGGTCACTGCCCTCCAATCTGATGAGGGGCCACATCGATTGAATCACGTACTGGCTCTAAGTCCGCACCTGGCTCCGGCTCCAGTTCTAATGGCATCACTGCATCATCTTCTGAAGCTGATAGTGTGGGTGACATTCCTGTGCCCCCAAATACCGATCCTGCACATGTTGCTGAGGAACCAAATTGATGGTGTGTGGAAGGCCACTATTAGATATACAGAGACTCCCGCAAGTTGAATAAGAAGGAGAAGATGGCTTAACTAGTCATCGAGGAGCGTCGGGCTCTCACAGGTAGCCTATACACTGCTCTTGTCATTGAGGGGCTCATTCGTAGACACAGGTGAGAGTGGATGGCCCGGCCCCCAGGCACATACAGTGAGGAGATAGTCAGGGAGTTCTATGCTTCCTATGTCACCACTATTAGAGGGTCCATCTCCACGAGCAACAAGCCCACAGCTCAGACTCCTCTTGAGGATACACTAGTTCGGGGATTTTTTGTTGACATCCCTGAGACCACCCTCTGCAGGTTCGTCTATGACCTGGATCAGACTCTGCCCATCAATACAGCAGAGCTAGACTATTGTATGGGCCTCATCCGGAGTGGGGAATTTCAGAGGAAGGCCGAGCAGTGGAAGTCACTTATTAGGTGGCTAGCACGACATATTTCCATGGGCGGAGAGCAAGAAGAGTGGGTCCGTACTCTGAGCATGGGCATCAGGAAGGCCACCTTAAATTTTCCTGCAAAATTCTTATGGTTGCTAGTACGTTGTAGGTTGTCCCCCACTCAGGCGGACAATGTGGTCACATGGGATCGAGCGGTGATAATTGCAGCCATGGTAGCGAGAGTTGAGGTTGATTTTATCTATATACTGATTGAGGTGATCCACGAGAGGGCCTTTAAGGCCACCAGCACTTTGCCTTTCCCTTGCCTCATTTTCCAGCTTTGCAGGGACTCCGATGTAACAATTTGGCATTGTGACCGGTTGCTTCAGGCAACCAAGACTCTTGATATAGGCCTTATTCAGGATTCGGCCAATGCAGTTGCACCTCGCAGGGAGCCACAGGTTAAGGTACCGCCATTGGGCAATGATCTTGTAGCGGATGTGGAGCAGATGTAGGATAATGACACTGCCCCTCCAGCCACTACAGCAGAGGCCCAGGCTCATCCGTCTTCGACCGCCAATTATGCTTCTACCTCATCCAGAGCCACCATTATTCGGGTGCCACCGCCATCCCTTTAGCTCGAGTACAGAGGCTCGAGGCACAGATGGCTACCCTGGTTCATCATGTGAGGCTATGGATACAACGTGCTATAGCGTAGTCCGAGGCTAGGGTTGAATAGTGGATGCAGCATATGATAGACCAGAAGGTCCAGGCCGTTCATCAGCGCCTGGATGCCTTTGAGTTACGAGTCCTAGAGAGGATGACCTCGACTGTTGATGTGACAACCCTCTAGAAGGAGATAGATAGTGTTCGTGCTGATGTGACTCTACTTCTCGCTCCACTAGAGACTAAGCAAGATTCTTCCCCTACAGCATCAGTTGATGATATGGTGTTGAGTGATCTATTCAGTTATGGTATGCCACCTTCAGATTCTTCCTGTATTGTAAAGAAGCGCCCTCGCTCTGGTCGTACTTCTGATGAAGTGAGGCTGAGAGAGAAAGAAAGAGGGAGTGCCAGCAGATTGAGGTGGCTTGGAGGGAATCCATAGTTGATGAGGAGTTTAGACAGCAGAGGGCTAGGTAGGTAGGTGTTAGCCCATCTAGCAGTGTGAGCACTACTGATGGTGCAGTGAGAGTTGATGATAGCACTACTGAGGGTGCTGAGATGGTTGATGGGAGCGCTATTGATGGCGTTCCACATGTTGATCCAGCGGGCACCGGGAAACCAGACCCACCACTGCTTGAGTGCTCTTCGACGCATATGCGCGCGCCACAGGTTTGCTTCACCCGATCCTTTACTTTTTATTGTTTGTGCATTGGGGACAATCACACTTTATTTTGTTGGGGGTGGGGTAAATAGAGTGTCAGTGATAGGGTGAAGTCTAAGTAACCCAACTCATAATCCTCTCTTGGGGTTTTCTTGCCAGTGTTCTTTTCCCCCAAGAGATTGTTTAATTTCTGTGAACCGGCATGTTTAGGAATGTATGTGTAGGAGTAAGTAGAAAAATTAAAGCATAATGGCATGAAAAGCATGAGAAAAATGATCCATGTCCAAAAATGTTGAATTGTTCTAGATCTATAGTCTTGATAAGTTAAATGTGTTGTATCTCAATGTGGCATGATAAGAACTGATGTGACCTCATGACTTAAGTTAAAAACTAGGTAATTTGATAATCTGATAATGAAACAATGTGCCAAGAGTGTGTGAGAAAAGTTGAATGTTCAGACAGTTTGTGCCAATCTAGAACTTGCCGCGTTGGTCCAACTAAGATGATCTAGGCTAGAAGTTGGGATGTGATCATAGGCCCTTGTTCAAATTATTCCACTTAAGCCTAAAATGATCCAACTAAACAAAATCAGTGTTTCCTTTGATCCAAATATTTGAGCCTAAAATAGACCATTTATTTTGATTCACCTAACTCACCTTCCCTAAAATAAGTGTTTTGGCCCAGGTCCCTCCTTGGACATGTGCACCTTGACTTAGGCCAAAAGCCTAAGTTAAGGGTGGATAATGCAAAAAGTTACCTCAATCTTAGCCCTGGTCTGACATCGGATATTGTGAACCTCAACTAATGTAAAATCTATAAGTTGAGGGTGGCTATTAAAGTGGAAACCGAAAGAAAAAAGGCTATGAAAAGAGTTTTGTGTTGAAAAGAGAAAAAGAAAAGATAGAAGAGGATGTGACTTTGTGCAAAAGAAGCAAAAAGAGGATAAATAAAAGTGCTGGAAAAAAAATAAAGTGAAAGAAAAAGAAGAAAGTGAAAAATAAGAGCCACAAAGTCAAAAGTCACATCCATGTTGAAAAGAGTCAAGGGAAAGAAAGTAAAATGAAAGGATGTCAAAAATAGGGTGATAAAAGAGATAAAAAGCCAATGTAATGTCAAGGAGGGCAGAAAGTCACTAAAAAGTACCCAAATGTACCACACTAGACCCTGAGCCTACGTTACAAGCTAAGAAAGTCCTATAGTGATCCTAGCAACTAGTTTGGAGAGTCTAAGCAGTGAAAATAAGGGCAAGCCTATGGTATTGAGCACTAACTGTACTTGAAGTCACTTCTAAGCGTGAGTGGTGCATGAATCCTAAAAACTCAAAATTCATATCTTCTATGTGAAAAAGATTTCGTTTGAAGTGAGGGCACTAGTTACATTGTCGGAAAGTTGGTACATTGGTGATTGTGAAAAGTGTATGTTGTGGTGTCTATTGGTCGATCTCGGTCATATCTTGATCCGCATGAGTTAGCTTGTTGAATCTAAGAGAAAAGATTTGCACTAAGAAAATGGAGTGGATTGAAATGGCCATGTGATTGCTTGAGTTTGTATGTATGCTTCTACACAAGTGTCGTTTAGAGTGTTAGGGTTGTTTGGTAGAGTATAAGAATAATGCAAAATATAGTGTATTAGTAATGCTTGCATTTGTAACGCTTGTATTAGTGATGATAAGATTTTTTATGCAATGTTTGGTTTGGTGTACTAAAAATATTATGAATTGTGTTATTTCAAGCATGAGTAACGAAATCCACAACTAGGGTTGTGGGAAACATGAGCAATTAACAACGTATGAATAATAATTAAGTAATTCTTGAATAGTGTTTATGCATGTATTGGTAATTCTTTCGCTTAGAAGTCTTTTTAACGGTGCGCAACGTTAGAACTTGCCTTGTTGCTACTTTCCAGATCAAGGAGGTAGTTAATAAGAAAAGAATTATCAACAGAGATTTTACTTATGGTACGAGGGTGAAAACTAAGTCATACATTGATGTGATGTCTAATCTGAGGTAAAGGTAAGGGCCAGTAAAGTATACACACGTAGCAGGACCAAGGTGCGAAGTGAAATTCACTATTTGGAGGACCAATCACTTAGGGATATCTATCTTACCAACTTTGCATGTAAAACACTAGGAAAAGATTACTATTATTAGGATTACCGCA